ACCCAGCAGAGGGGATTTGCCTGCCTGGGGAGAGTGGGAATAGACCAGCACTTGGGAGCTTGGCTGCCAGCTGCTTAGCACATCTGGACACAGAAGAATCCCAAGACTTGGTTCTGCCAGGCTCCAGTTTCCCCTCTTCTGTTTCTTTTCAGCTCCCTGCAAACTGCCTCCCAGCTGTGGGTGAGGCTGATTGTGTGTGAAACCAGCCGCGCTTTGGATGATTTTGTTAATTGTTTAAAAAGCCTTATGCACCTCTTCTGCCTGGGGAGGTGTCTGTAATAGACGCCTAGTGTGACATCACCCTGGGGTTTTACCCCTTTAACCTCACCCAGAGAGTCCCGACAAGTCCACTCCTGTGTCAAGTGTTCACATGTCTCATATCTGAGGAAACTCCTCCTCCCTTTTTCCTGCCAGTCCTTCCCGAGCAAGCTCTACCCTTCTGTGCCAATATACCAATAAGTGTATTATCCCACCACATCCCTGTGATACCAACTTCCTGCTTATTACCCATAGTCCTGTGTGTCTATACGAGCATCTAAGACACAGATTAGATTTTGCTTCCCAGTGGTTCCGCATCCTTCCTTTACCTCTGCTGTTACAGCCCCTGCTGTCTCCCATTTCTGGCCCATCTCCCAGGTGTCCATGTTGTTCACTTACCTCTGGGCTTTGGGCACCTGCCCCCATCAAACCTAGTTTAAAGCCTCCTCACTAGGTGAGCCAGTCGGCACCCAAATACTCTTCCCTTCCTCAACAAGTGAACCCCACCCCTGCTGAGCAGCCCTTCCTGCAACAGCATCCCATGGGCAAGGAAGCCAAAGCCCCCTGCCCACGGAGCTGCAGCTTTCTGTGCCCAGGAAGCCAGACACCGCTTGGGCTCGATGGCTGTGGGGAATGGGGAATGGCTGCACTTTGGGAGTCAAAAGTGTTGTGTGGAAACATAAAGAGCCATTTTAAAAAGGTTTTGGAGGAGGGCACTATGGCTTAGTTGGCTAAAGCACCTGCCTCATAAATGAAAGATCCTGGGTTCAAGTTGCTGTGGTGCCTTTCTAGGACACAGAAGAGGCCTCCCCTGGCCACCCATGGAACTGCTGGTTTAGAAAAAGGCTGATTGGGGAAAGCCTGGAGCAGGTACAGAGGCTGCTGTGACTGGCACTGGAAAGGCAGGGCTCTGACTGCAATTGCTGGGACAGGAGAGCCAGTGCCACACACCCTTGTGATTTCCTGAGGAGCTCAGAGCCTGAGGGTGAAACCTCTGCAGCCATGGAGAGTCAGGGTCTGTGGGCATCAGGAGCTTTTCACCTGTGGGGGAGAAACCTCTTGTGGTTTCTTTCTTTTCCACTCAGCCTTTTTCCTGAACCAGCAGTTCCATGAGAGGCCAGGAGAGGCCTCTTCTGTGTCCCAGAAGGGCATAAGTAAATGTGAGCAAAGGCTGAACAAGGTACCAGTGGTAACTGAACCCAGGTGCTGTTGTTTATTAGGTAAGTGCTTTAGCCAGCTAAGCCACGGTGCCCTACTCAGACCCACCTCTAAACTGTTCTACTGTATGGTCCCAGACAACACCATTGTCTCACAAATTTTGGCCATTCCCCATTTCCCTCCTGCCTTCCCACCCTGGTGGTGTCTGGCTCCCTGGGCACAGAAGGCTACAGCTCAGTGGGCAGAGGCTCTAACGTGCACATCTCCCCCAGCACCTGGGACTGTGGCGTTGCCTTTGAGGTTCTACAGGGTTGTGGGAGGGAGAAACGCAGCAAACTTTGATTTTCTGGCTTGTAAACCCCTTGGTCTCAGGGTTTAGGTTGGAGTCCCGAGGTGGGGGCCCGGCCTCCTTCAGTTTGGTCCCTTCCTGAGAGCACAAAATTGACAACAGAGAATTCCTTTGCCCCGCAGCAATCTCTGTTGGCCAAAGGGTTAGCAACCGAATATTTGCCCAAGCATAAGTGCAGTAGCAGAAAACTTTTGTATTTGTGTTTCTGTGGTGTAGTGGTTATCACGTTTGCCTAACAGGCAAAAGGTGCCTGGTTCAAAGCCAGGCAGAAACACAGCATCTTCTATTATTGCACTTCCCCTGGGTGCCCACAAGGCAATTCCAGGGCCTGCCACCGGGTGCAGGGTTTGGCAGCATGTGTGCTGGTTTTCAGGAGCATGTGGAAGACAGCTCAGGAGGTTAGGCTGAGATAGGAGGACGCGGAGGGGGAGGCCTCAGTGGTGCCTTGCCTGAGACCAGGTCATTGCAGCCACGCAGTCCAGGGCCCACCCTGGAAGTGCCACTACTGTGGCTGTGCACCTTCGGGGCAGTGTGGCTGTCACCTTTGAGACACCAGCCATCCCATTCCCCTCACTTTCTTCTCACCCAGCACCCCCTGCTTGCTTTGTTCCTGCTCCCCCACCCTGCTCCTTTATCCACGTTCCTTCTGCACCCTTTCTCCTGGCCACACACGGCTCCTTGGCGCTTCTCAAGCCAGGCCCTGCAAAGAGCCGCCAGGAGGAGGAACCAGCCCTTGGAGCTCAGCTTGCACCGGATCTGGTAGTTTCTCACCACATCTCACCGGGGAAGAGGTGACTTGTTCTCCTTCCTTCTGACCTTACGTCTCCGTTCCCTTCAAAAGTCTCTGCTGCCTCGGGACCCGCCTCCTCAGGGCGCTGCCCCTCTGCCACTGGGCTGGGAGCGGGAGATCCCACAGTCTCTGCCCCTGGGCTGAGAAGTCTCACGGAGATTCGTCTGCTGATGGCGTTAGTCAGCCCGATTGCCAGCCGGATCCATTCCATAGAGC